GAACTATTTACCCAGGTGCGTCCAGTGGCCTAAAGTAATTTTGGGTGCATCCAGTGTCCTAAACTAATTAAAATGGTGCGTTTATATCCCAGGCTAACAGAAATATTATGTTTAACCGTTACTTTCTTGACTCAACTTAAAGTTGACCCCAAATATTCTACATGGTAGACAGATAGACATCCGATTTGTATTATTCTTACTTAAAAGTCAATTTATTTAGCAGAAGAGGAAGGAAATAAATTAAATTTTGAGTAAGAATAATACATATAAAATGTCCATGTGTCTACCATTTAAAATATTTGGGGTCAATTTTAAGCTAAGTCAGGAAAGTAATGGTTAAACATAACATTTCTGTTAGTCTAGAATATGGATGTACCATTTTAATTAGTTTAGGCCACTAGACGCACTTGGGTAAATAGTTTAGGGTGCTGGGTGCACCTTAACCCTAAAATCTAAAACCATGGTTAGCCACTGTATATTAAAGATGGGAGGAAGGGGGTTTTTTTTTTTTTTTTTTTGAATCAATACTGGATTACAAAACATTATAAATAAGGTCCAACAAAACCAAGTTTCCTCCCTCACCTTTCCCCTTATACCTTCCATTTGGTGAGATTGAACCATCCACCTCCAGTATGATAAAGTTATGGTGGAGTTCATTGGTGTAATCCTTTCTGCTGAGAGTGTTGGCATAGAAGGGGAAGGATCATTTTCTTCATGATGTGTGTGATTTATGGAATATATAATAAATTAAATTTTTGAACCAATTATATTTATCCTTCTAACCTTTAAACATGCTGAAATTTGCGGGAGAACAAAATTACCTGGCGTATAAGGAGTACCGCTAAATCCTTCTGATTCAGGTTATTTTTATTTCAGCCCTTATGATGGCAAAATAATTATTCAAATCAGAAATATAATTAATTTTATCAGTTACAAAATGACAAAATTGATAAACAGAATAAAAATGACACTAAAAATTAATGAAATAAAAAATGAATAAAATCATAAAAGAAAAGGCTTCAAGAATAAAAAAATTACAAACAAAGACCCGTTGTTTACAATATTAATATTAGTTTTGACAACAATTAATAAGTAAATGATAGCAATTTTTTTCAACGGTTCCCTCTATATAATTTTTAATTTTTAATTTTTTTTGGCTATTTTTCTGAAAAATAATTTACTTCGTATATATTTTAAAGCTGTAAAAATTAAAGTAAATTAAATGAAATTATTAAAAGAAAAAAGAAAAAGAAATTAATTTCCCCCATAAGGTATTGGGGACCCCACGGCTAATATGACACACTTTTTCATGGGCCTGCATTCGGTGCTCATCACTTGATGAGCACCCAGTGCTCATCAAGTGATGAGAAATCTGGACCGTCCAGATCTAATCTGGACGGCCCAGATTTAATATTTTTAAATAATTAGTTTAAAATAGAAAAAAATATTTTTTAAAAGTATAATAGTTAAGAGATTATCTTTATTTTTTATTCTATACCTATTAAAATAATTATTTTTAAAAAATAAAATAAAATAAAATAAAATATGGACCGTCCAGATCGGATCTGGACGGTCCAGATCCTGATGAGCACTGGGTGCTCATCAGCTTGATGAGCACCCAATGCAAATCCCTTTTTCATGGCCGTTGTTGTTGGACCCCCAAAAAATGAAAACTCTTCATCCTTTCAAGCCCCTCTATCTCCATCCTCCGTTTCTATAAAACGCTCACCGCTCTCCACAGTTCACTCGACTCTCCTTCCTCTTTCTCTCCTCATAATCTTTGTACCCTATGAGCAAGTTAAGGCAAGTCTTCGCCGGGATCTCAGATCCTGGCAACCACAAGAGAAACAAAAAACTCTTTCTTGCTCTGTTTTCCACCCTGCTCCTTGTTGCCGCCGCTGTCGGCATAATCGCCGGAGTGAACTCCCGCCAAAAATCCTCTGATAATTTGAATTTCTCCTCCCATCCATCCCATGCTATCGTCAAATCTGCTTGTAGCTCAACACTTTACCCTGAACTTTGCTTCTCTGCTATCTCCTCCGAGCCTGGATTCACCGAGAAAGTCTCTTCCCAACGCGATGTCATCGAACTTTCCCTAAACATAACAACCAGAGCCGTTGAGCACAATTTCTTCACCGTCGAGAAGCTAATCGCCAAAAGAAAGGGAAGCCTCACGGGGAGAGAGAAAACCGCTCTTCATGACTGTTTGGAGACGATCGACGAGACGCTCGACGAGCTTCAGACAGCTTCAGAAGATCTGAATGTCTATCCGAACAAGAAAACTCTGTATCAGCACGCTGACGATCTAAAGACTCTGATAAGTGCCGCCATTACCAACCAGGTCACCTGCCTTGACGGATTCTCTCACGATGGCGCTGATAAGAAAGTGAGGAAAGCTCTAGAGGCAGGGCAGGTGCACGTGGAGCACATGTGCAGCAATGCTCTGGCGATGATTAAGAACATGACGGACACAGATGTGGCCAACTACGAGAGGAAGTTGGGGATTACGAAGAGCAGGAGGCTGATGTCGGCGACGTCGGAAGGCGGGGTTCAGTGGCCAGAGTGGATGTCGGCGGCGGACAGGCATTTGTTGCAGGCCACGAATGTGAAGCCTAACGTCGTGGTAGCAGCTGACGGGAGCGGAGATTTTAAGACGGTGGGGGAAGCTGTGGCTGCGGCGCCGGAAAAGAGTAAGAATAGATATGTGATTAAGATCAAAGCAGGAGTTTACAGAGAGAACGTGGAAGTTTCAAAGAAGAAAACGAATATAATGTTCTTAGGAGATGGAAGATCTAACACTATCATCACCGGAAGCCGGAATGTTGTCGACGGAAGCACCACCTTCCATTCCGCCACCGTTGGTAAGTTCACTGCTCTTCCTTTCTCATTTACTTAGTTTTAATAATTTTAAAAAAAAGGTTAATAGTCTATAATTTTAATTAGTTTTAATTTTGTTTTTTCATACCTAGACAAAGTTCTCATAAAATTATAAAAACCAAAACTAGTAATTCAAAATTACAAGAACAAAATCAAAATTCTATGAGATGGTAAACTGAGCATCAACAATGTTTAGTTTTTTTAAAAAAAACATATAGACTAATTCTTAATTTTTTTAAAAAAATATATATATACACACTCCTCCAGTCTTCAATATATGATTTAATTATTGAGTTGATTTTGATTATAAATATAAGACCTATTTCTTATATTTATTAATTTTTTCTAAATTACCCCTATGGATATTTCCCCAACCATAATCAAATAGAAGAGGGAGAGAGGATATTAAGAAAGATGATTATGGTGTTTTGAGAAAAATCTATCATATTTCTTATAATTAACTAACTTATCTCATTTTTTTAATCTGATCAAATTAATTAAATAGCTTTGAAGAGTATATATATATACTCCTCCGGTCCTTAATATATGATCCAATTCTTGAATTGGTTTTGGTCCTAAATATAAGATCCATTTCTCATATTTATCAATTTTCTCTAAATTACCTCTATGGATACTCCTTCAACCATAATTAAGTAGAAGAGGGAGATGAGGTATTAAGAAAGATGATTATAGTGTTTTAGGAAAAATGTGTCATTTTTTTTATAATTAACTAGCTTACCTAACTTCTTTAATCTAATCAAATTAGTTAAATGGGTCTTATGTTAAGGACCGAAAGAGTGTATATATATATATAAAAGAGAAACAAAACCTAATCGATATAGAGTAATAATATTATGCTGTTTGAGAATTGTCAACTTAGTGCCCAGCAAATGTGCAAGAAAATGCTCTGGTGTTAGTTACACTATAGAGAAGCAAGTTTGGAAAGTTGACAAACTTTCCATTTAACCAAATAATAATGCTGTGGGTCGCGATGGATGAGGTTCACGTGTTTGCTCAGTGATTCATTGTAAATTCAAAATCACAGGGGCCAAAGAAAGCACCGAAAGCTCAAAATGATCCATCCATACACGTCTACGAAGACACATTAATTACACGTACTAAATTTAGTAGGTATTAATATAATAAGACAATTTACCCTACTTAACAACTAACATTATGTGGTCACAGATGTTGGTGTGTTTTGACCAAAGTCCAAAATAATTAATGTTAATCCTACACGTATTAAATTAATGTTGGTGTGTCTTGATATTTTGAATTAGAGTAATTTTTTTTACCGAGGGTTGAACAGCTAATTAAGAATATTGTGTTTTGTATTACAATGATTAGCGAATGATGATTGATTAGCATGTTTTTGCTGTCGGTATATGATCAGTACTTAGTTTTTTTAAAAACCGCACATGATGTTTTGAAACAAAGGCTAATTCCTATAATTTCGGCATAGAGTCCCTACCAGCCAAGGGACCAAATCATGCTGTACAAGGTTTTATTTTTTTCAGGCCGTTTCTTCTTGTCATGTGGCAGCATGTGCACATGGGTCTTGATCGTAGACATTTATCAGTATTATTGAGTTTAAGTCAAATATTTTGTCTGTATGCTGTTTTCTTAGTGGTAATAACTTTTGGACCCTTAATGTTATCATCTACTACCACCTCCGGTCCTTATTATAAGACTCCGTTTGACTTTTTGTTTGGTCCTAATTATAAGACCCCAATCCATTTTGTCTCTCATATTTATACATTTTTTTCCAAAATAATCCTTTTAATAATGATAGTTCTAGCCAATACACTTAATTAGTAAGGATATTTTAGGAATGACAACACTTATTTATTACAAATAACTAACTTAACTTACTTCCTTAATCTCCTCAAATAAGTCAATTGGGTCTTATAATTAGGACCGGAGGTAGTATAATCCCAAAAAGTACTACATAAATTATTCTCCTAATGGATTTTCAACCACGCACCCTTATCACACTAAGCTGTTCTGTTCTGTAATCTCATTCTTTCAAAAAGATGCAAATTTGGGGCTGCATACATCAACATGTTGGTTGCCTTCTTCCTTTGAACTGGAAATTTCATAATTAATTTTATATATTTTTTCAATTTCAGATTTCCATTCTCCCGGTTTCTTCCCATCTATGGTCCCTTTTTTTATTATTTGTTACGATGCAACCATCGGTATAAGAATTCTATTTTCAGGAACTTGACTAAGAGGGTATTTGGTTTCTTTGAAAATTACTTTTGAAAGGTATTTTTTTATAAATCGAGATAAACTCCTCCACATATTTATTTTGTATACTGTAAAAATACTTTTAAAATTATAATTTTGATTCTATCCAAACGCTTTTAAAATTTAACCTGTGTCAACTGAGGCCCTTGAAGGAAGTAGGGTCTCCCAGGGACCCCCCCCAATACCTAAGAATCGAACCCGATACTTCTGATTCTTTCCCATGCCTTTTTGATAATTTTTTTTTTTTAAAAAAGGGAGCTTTCAGCGGGAAGCTTCCTGGTTATGGTAGTCCCTAGTATCATTATTCCCCTTCAATCATGCGTTGGTTCTGTGGGCTTCGTGGGAAAATCCAGCCATAGAAAAGAAACTACAACACACACCACATACAAATGCGCCTGACACTTTCACAACTATCTTTTTGGCTTTCTTTTTCTGAACGTAACACCTTATCTTTTGCTTGTTGAGCATGTTAATGTCATTTTCATATGATACTCCATTATCTGTTGGTTGTTAGCCTTTGATTCCTTAGTCTTGACACCAGAAATGTATGCGTCGCTGTAATATACGAACCTCTTGCCAAAATCCAAGGTAAATTTTGCGTCCTAACTCAAAATTTTAATTTCTTTTTGGGGCCTAAACGCGGTAGGTCCACTGGGAAAGGTACTAAGCTGAAATTTTGTCAACTTGTTCCCACTTCCCTTTCGTCTCAGTGGCTTGCAGGCTGAGCGGTGGACTGTGAACCCGTACGCCACCCCACCACCGAACAAAGCGTGCGCTTTCACTTCAATGACGCTGACCTCTTTTTGCTCCTTTTTTAGAAATTTAATTGTGAATAGATTGATATTCTGATAAGATTTTAAGGAAGGGATATATTCACTAAATTTTTTTATGAAAACTGAGTAATTTATAACAATAAATTTTAAAGCAGATTTTAGCTGTTACTTGTGATTTAAAATTTTTTAATGACTAACTAATTATATTTTTTGGGGACCTTGCAATAATTTTCTCTTGTTTCTAAAACTTATTTTTTTGTACAAGATTGTCAACTATTTCTTAAAAAAAATTAACGAGCTAAAAATTTGGATAGTGTAAACGAATATCATAAAAATTTCTTGACTTGTTATGTTATACTACTACCTCCGGTCCTTATTATAAGACCCCATTTGACTTTTTGTTTGGTCCTAATTATAAGACCCTAATCCATTTTGTCTCTCATATTTATGCATTTTTTTGCAAAATAATCCTTCTAATAATGATAGTTCTAGCCAATACACTTAATTAGCAAGGATATTTTAGGAATGACAACACTTATTTATTACAAATAACTAACTTAACTTACTTCTTTAATCTCCTCAAATAAGTCAACTGGGTCTTATAATTAGGACCGGAGGTAGTAGTATAGTTCGACAAGCTTGCATGCAGGCCCCTCCCATTGTGAACATCACCATTGTGCAACAATTTCTGATACAGTGATGAAAAACTCAAAAAGAGAAAATTTAAGTGGACCCTAAGAAACAAAACTATTCAAAATGTTATTATCATTACAACTTTGAAGAGAGGTAACATAACATGCATGAAATATTATTATTTAAGGATGGCCAAAAAAAGAATATTATTATTTAAGATGGCAATCATATTAGGAAGACTTTATAGGTTATTCTCTACCAGCCCAAAAAATGAAAATTATAATGAGTTGGCATTAGGGAGAGCCAGAGCGTGTTACCTTTTTAGAGGTCATTAGTCAGGATAAGAAATCTTTAAGCCAGCTCACATTCACTCACGAAAGATCTCCACACGAATGATTTACCTTTTATTAATTTTAAATTTTTTAATTGAAAATTCTATTCCTTTTTTGTTTTTATTTTGTTTTTATTAATTTACAGTTTTAATGGATAAGCTATTGATGTATTGTGCAGCCGCAGTGGGTGAAAGATTCCTAGCTCGCGACATAACCTTTGAAAACACGGCCGGCCATGCCAAGCACCAGGCCGTCGCCCTCCGGGTCGGTTCCGACTTCGCCGCCTTCTACCAGTGCGACTTCCTCGCCTTCCAGGACACCCTTTACGTCCACAATAACCGCCAGTTCTTCATCAACTGCCTCATTGCCGGCACCGTCGACTTCATCTTCGGCAACTCGGCCGCCGTGTTCCAAGACTGCGACATCCACGCCCGACTCCCTGGGTCTGGCCAGAAGAACATGGTCACCGCACAGGGACGGGTTGACCCGAACCAGAACACCGGCATTGTGATCCAGAAGTGCCGTATCGGAGCAACGAAGGACCTGGAACCAAAGAAGAAGGACTTCAAGACCTTCCTGGGGCGGCCATGGAAGCAGTATTCGAGGACGGTGATAATGCAGACGAGCATAACGGACGTGATCGATCCGGTGGGATGGCACGAGTGGAATGGTGATTTTGCTTTGGACACTCTGTTCTACGGCGAGTATCAGAATACTGGCGCCGGTGCGGGAACAGCGAACAGAGTGAAGTGGAAGGGGTACCACGTTATAACAAGTGCTTCGGAGGCTCAAAAGTTCACTGCCGCCAACTTTATCGGTGGCTCTAACTGGTTGGGCTCCACTGGCTTTCCTTTCTCTCTTGGTCTTTAGGGCTCACATCGTTAATTATTATTATTTATTATTGCAATATTTGTTATGTATTGTATGGCTAGGAAAAAATTACCCTTTCATGTAGGCAAAAAGGAATTTGAGTTGTGCGGAAGACGAGGTGTGGGTGTGTGAGGAAACAAAATCGTGTGCTCCTAGCACATGTGAAGAAGCAGAGGGTGCTCAAGAATATAAGCAGGTGGGTGGGGGGGGGGGAAGGTGACCTGCCGATTTGGCATGATTAATTAATGAAAATTTGAGTGATTTTGATTGAATGTTAAGGGTTTAATCATTTTGACTTTTTTAATTTTTTATATTAATATAAGTAATAATTTTTCCATAATTAAATATTTCCTCAATCAAAATTTACTCAAAAATAAAAATTGCTCCCTTAGGTTCCTAATATATGATTTGGTTGGGGGGTATAAAACATAATCCAATTTACATATCATGTTTATTATCTTCATTGGCAAAAAAAAAAAAATCACTTTTTTTCCTCATTTAATTTACCTACATTGTAAATTGATCTAGGATTTTGTAGAGTTGTTTTGGGAGATCATATTACATGTGTTGTATTAAACTATATTCAACAACAATAACAACAACAAGCCTTATCTCACTAGGTGGGGTTAACTACATGAATTACACAATACCATCGTGCTCTGTCAATAATCCAGTCCTTAGATATGTTGTTGACTAGGAGGTCTCGTTTAATGACCTCATTAAGCGTTCTTCTTGGTCTTCCTCTGCCCCTTTTTTATGGGACTCCATCTTGTTTGATCCACCCTCCTCACCAGGGCCTCCAATAGCCTTCTTTGCACGTGTCCAAACCATCTTAAGCGATTTTCAATCATTTTCTCTTGGATAGGTGTCACACCGACTCTTGCCCTGATATTTTCATTTCGAATCCTATCTTTTCTTGTATGATTACACATCCATCTCAACATCCTCATTTCTGCTACCCCGACTTTGTGCTCTTGTTTTCACTTTATTGCCCAACATTTACTACTGTACAACATAGCTAATCTTATAGCAGTCCAATAAAATTTTCCTTTAAGTTTCTCAAGTACCTTTTTATCGCAAATAACTCCTGTAGCTTTCCTCCACTTTAACCAGTCAGCTTGTATTCTATGAGAAACGTCTCCATCAATTTCCCCATCCTCCCGTATAATGGATCCTAGGTATTTAAACTTTGATACTTGAGGAATAATTTGCTCCCCCATCTTCACCTCCAAATCCCCATTGCCTTGCCTCCCCCCAAAATTACAATGCATATATTCTGTTTTGTTCCTGCTCAAGCGGAAACCTTTCGACTCTAAAGTCCTTCTCCATAACTTCAATCAAGTGTTAATCTCTTCTTTTGATTCCGCCATGAGAATTATATCATCCGTGAAAAGCATGGACTTAGGAATTCTTTCTTGAATAGGTTCAGTTAGAACATCCAAAACAATGTTGAACAAGTACGGACTCAAAGAGGATCCTTGATGTAGGCCAATCTTAATAGGGAAGTCCTTTGTCTCACTTCAAGGTGTCCTTACACTGGTAGTTACCTGCTCATACATATCTTGTATGGCTTTGATATAAGCAACACGTGCACCTTTCTTTTCTAAAGCCTTCCACATTACTTCTCTTGGCTCACGATCATAAGCCTTTTTCTAGGTCAATAAAAACCATATTTAAATCTCTTCTGTTACTTCTATATCTTTCCATTAAACCCCTTAGTAAATAGATTGCTTCCGATGTGAATCTCCCTAGCATAAATCCAAATTGGTTTTCCGAAATAGAAGTCTCCAGCCTCAACCTATATTCCATCACTTTTTCCCACAACTTCATTGTATGACTTATAAGTTTTATCCCTCTGTAGCTTGTACAGTTTTGAATGTCTCCTTTATTCTTGTAAATAGAAACTAAAATGCTTCTCCTTCAATCATCTGGCATATTCTTAGAGCGTAAAATTTCATTAAAAAGCTTGGTTAGCCACACCTCATCCTCATCGCCCAAACATTTCCAAACTTCAATAGGAATACTATCTGGCCCAACGGCTTTTCCATTGTCTATTTTCTTGAGAGTTGCCTTAACCTCTCTGATACGGATCCTGCGATAGAAAGCCAAACTCCGATCATCTTCATTAATTAGCAAGTCCTGTAAGTCCTGAGTCACATAATTGCTTCCCTTATTAAACAACTTGTAAAAGTAATCCTCACATCTGTCCTTAATATCACCATTAGTAACTAATACTTTACCATCTTCATCCTTTATACACTTTACTTGGTCCAGATCTCTCTTTTTCCTCTTCCTTTGCTTCGCAATCTTGTAAATATTTCTTTCTCCCGTCTTTGTTCCTAACTTCTGATAAAACCCCTCATAAGCTTTAGTACGTGCTTTGCTCACTTCTCTCTTTGTCTCTTTTTTAGCCAACTGATATTTTTCCTGGTTTTCTACACTATTGCACAAGTGTATTGCCTTAAAACAATCTCTTTTCTGTTTGACTTTCTCTTGCACACTCTTATCCCACCACTAAGTCTCCTTATCTCTCTGACCAGGACCTTTGGATTCTCCCAAAATTGCTTTAGCTACCAAACGAACCCTTGTAGCTATTTCTTCCCACATCATGTTTGCATTTCCCTGCGACTCCCAAATCCCTTCCTCCAAAAGGGTCCTTTTGAATAACTCCCACTTATCACCATTTAACTGCCACCACTTAACCCTGGGTTTTACCATTTGATGGTACTTTTGCCTAGTACTCTTAAAACGTACATCAAAGATAAGTACTCTATGTTGGGCAGTCACCCCATCTCTTGGAATCACTTTGCAATTAGTACACAATCTTCTGTCCGGATTCTTAACAAAAAAGAAATCAATATGTGATTTTGAGACACCACTTTTGTACGTGATTAAATGCTCCTCTCGCTTCTTAAAACAAGTGTTGACAATCTTAAGATTGTATGCAAGAGAAAAGTTGAGAATAGATTGTCCTCCACTGTTAAGCTCCCCAAAACCAAAACCACCATAGGCCCCGCTGAATTGTCCTGCTTCCTTTTCGACATGTCCATTAAGGTCCCCACCGATAAAATTTTTTTCTTCGAGTGGTATGCTTTGAACCAACCTCTCCATATCTTCCCAGAATTTATCTTTAAGATGTGCCTCTGCCCTAACCTGAGGTGCACAGGCACTAATAATATTGA